TGGTTGGTCCCTGAGAGCAGCGACTGGAAAGGTGAGGGAGAGCATGGGGCTTGCTGGGAGCATGAGGCCTCCGGAGGCGTGGGGCAGTGCGAAGTGGTTAGTCCCGAGAGGGAATGGGAGGCTGAGGGAGAGCGCAGGGCCTGCTGGGAGCATGTGGCCTCCGGGAGCGCGGGGTAGCGGGAAGTGGTTGGTCCCCGGGAGCTACTGGGAAGGTGAGGGAGAGCGTGAGGCCTGCTGGCAGCGGGAAGTGTTTAGTCCCGAGAGTGAATGGGTGGCTGAGGGGAGAGCGCGAGGCCTGCTGGGAGCGGCGTCCGGCCCCCTAGGAAGGCCGGGAGGAGCCCGGGGATGCCGGGAGCACCTGGTGCCCTGCCTAGGAAGGGGCTAAGGAGAACACCAGAGCCGAGGTCGCATCCGGAGTGGGGGCTGGCTCCTGCCTGAGGCAGAGGTCGCTGTGGGCTGGGCTGTCCTCCGACCCTCCCTTCCCACGCCGCGTGGTTCGTCTGTGCCTCGGGAGGCGGGGCTTTGGAGCTTTAATCCGTCCTAGATGTGTCTTTACATTTTTATTTCCCACTGTTAGGAAACAGCCCCATAAGACAGGAGAAAAGAGGGAGAAGAGCTTGTGTTGAGTTCCTAGTATGCGCTTGCTTTTCTTCTTAGAGGAAATTTGTTGAGATTTAAAAGTTTTAAGTATTAGACTCCAAGTTACCTTCCACAGGTGTATTTTTGTATAAGTGCTTGAACTTGAAGAAGTTGCTTTATATTTATACAGTATTCCGATTTTCCATAGTCCATAATATAAAATTTAAATATGTGTCGTGTGAATTAGCAGCTGTAAAATGTGCCCCAAATAAAAAGTTTGTTGTTTTGAGGCAGGGTTTCACTATGTAGTTGAGGCTGCTCTTGAATTCACTGTGTAGCTCAGGTTAGCCTCAAACTTGCTGCAGTCCTCCTGCCTCAGCCTCCCAAGTGCCAGGATTACAAACAAACAAAAGTTTTAACAGCCAGATCCACCAGTAGAAAACAATTTTTGATGGGTACCAGGAGTCAAACTCAGGACCTTTCACTTGCCAGGCAGGTGCTATGCCGCTGAACTATCTCCCCTGCCCGTGGAAAACAGTTTAGAAATCTTAGTAAACATAACAATTTAGATATCTCAGTAAACATTTTGTTTCATGAAAAATCAAAATAATTCCTCGACCTTAAACTGCTTTATAGAAAGAATCTGAAGTAACAGATAACTTGGCTATTTTGATATTTGAATTATATTGTCAGAGGAAAGATTTTATTTTCCTGAGAACAAAAGGAAACTTAAGAATAGTCAGGAACTGTAAAAAGAATTTATTAAGTAAACACAATGGTAGAAACATAAAAAGAATGTAGAACAGACTAGGCATTTAATACATCAGCTGGTGTTTTGTATTATTTGTATTTAAATTACTTAGTTTTAACTTGTAGTTTTATAAAACAAATTATCTTTTGAGGTGATCAAAGTCTTCTAAAATTTATTGCATTAATGGTTGTACAAGTCTATGAATATAGTAAAGAAATATTAAAGTGTACACTTCAGTGGGTAAATTGTGTATTAGGTTAATCTTAGCTTAATAAAACTTGAATCTAGAAAATCATTAGAAAACTTTCAAGGCAAAAATGCCACTTTGCTAACTAATTTGTTTTTATTTATTCTAACACAGAATCAACTTTGTGTGTGTGTGTGTGTGTGTGTGTGTGTGTGTGTGTGTGTGTGTGATGGGTCTCTATGTAGTTAAGGCTGGCTCTGAACTCACTAGAGAGCCCAGCTGGCCTTGAGCTTGCTTCAGTCCTCCTCCCTCAGCCTCCCAAGAGCCGGGATTACAAGCGTGTGCCACCACGCCCAGCGGCATCAACTATTATGTGTTGCGTTGGTATTGAAACTCTGTTGGCAAGAAAGTTTACTAATTTCTTGCTGCTGTTTGTGTTTAAAGGTCTGATTGCTGAGACATACAGTTGACACGAAATATGAATGATTCTAGGCAGCAGTCATTGTTCTTCATCACACTTCCAGATATACACAAGCTGTGTGCTGTCCCAATAATATTAAGTAACAGAGTGACGGATACCGACATTAGGAGTACACAAATGAAGATGTGCAGGTAAAAAATATATCTTCAAGCCTCAGTTTTTAACTAACAACTATGCAAGTTGTTTTAGCAGTATTTCCTTTAAGGAAAATGTTCACTTAATCTGTATATTTAAAATAAACTAATTAAATTTTGATTAGAGTGCATTACATTAAGATACTTGAGATCTTAAAATACTTGAGATAGAGTATCTCACTATTGACTTTTTATATTTGTAAATTGTTTTGTGCTGTTTATTTATTTATTTATTTTGTCTTTTTGAGACAGGGTCTTGCTATGCAGTTCAAGCTGGCCTTCAATTCATTTTGTAGCCCAGGCTGGCCTCAAACTCACAGTGATCCTCTTGCCTCAGCCTCCTGAGTACTGAGATTACAGGGGTGCACCAACATGCCCAGCTGTTTTGTGCTTTTTAAAAATTTAAAATCTTTACAGAGGGCCAGGGATGTAGCTCAGTGGTGCAAGCTCAAGGTCCTGAGTTTGATTTCTGGTACCAAAAAAAAAAAAAAAAGGAAAAATCTTTACAGACTTTCATGAATTAAATTAGGCACACAAAAATTTAAGAGATACTAATTAATATATGTTTACTCACTATGGAAATCAGTATGGCTATTTCTTTTTTAAATTTTTTTTTTTTTTGTCTTTTTGAGACAGGATCTTGCTATGCAGTTCAGGCTGGCCTTGAGCTCACTTTGTAGCCCAGGCTGGTCTCAAACTGGCGACAGTACTTCTGCCTCAGCCTCCCGAGTGCTGGGATTGTAGCCATGTGCTACCACACCCAGCCTAGTATGGCTGTTTGTAAAAAAACTAAACACAGAAGTTCTATTCAACCTAGCTATACCCCTTCTGAGTATCTTCCCCAGAAGAGTAAAATACATCATGTTACAGTGATACATGCATATCCATGTTTATGGTGACATAACTCACAATAGCTAAATCTTAGAATGTCCATCAACAGATAAATGAATAAAGAAGATGTAGATATACATAATGGAGTACTACTCAGCCATAAAGAAGAATAAATTTGAGTCATTTGTAGGTAAACAAATGCACCTTCAGACCATAATACTAAGTAAAATAAATGAGACACAGGTCGAATATCACATGGGTTCTCAAAATATAAATTAAAGAGCAAAATAAAATATGATAGGAAATAAAGAGATAGACCTTTTGCAGTTGAAAGGTGATCTAGGGATGGAGAGAGGAGGAAGGGAAAGGGAAAGAAGTAAAGGACTAAGGAGCAATGTGTATAGGTACCAATCCCCACAATGAATGTGTTCATTATGTATTGCAAACAGGTACTAATAAAAGTAAATATTTACTTACTCTTTGCAGGACAGTTAAAGGTATTATAAATGGATTAATTAATTTCTTAATTTTTAAGTTAGTAGAAGACATTGGACAGCATTTCTTCAGGAATTACTTTGACATAGCTAACCCAAGATAATCTTTTTGAAGTGGCTCAGTTGAAGCATAAAGTATAATTCTTTGATTACTGAGAAATCATCATATATGCACCATATTTTCATTCCTGAGTATTTTTTGTCTTGGTATTGGAGATTGAACACAAGGCCTGGGCATGGAACCCCAGGCCTGGCTCTTGCTAGGCAGGCGCTGCACTGCTGAGCCACATCCCCAGCCCTCATTCCTTAAATTGTTTGAGGTACTTGAAGAAACACATACAATGCACAACAAGATTATATCTTAAAATCAACTTTTTTAGAGAAGAACAAACACCTATAGGATGCTCCGGAAAAGAAAGGAGGAAAGCACTCTGAAGGTTTCCTCCATTTTCCTCTTATCTGTCATACTTTTTCACCATTGCCATTTTCCCACCCAACTCCATCAAGGAGCCTGCATCCTTGCTGCTATGGTGATGACCATTAAGGATTTACCCGGGACCTTTTGGACAAAACCTGAAATATGTAAACAAATGAGATTTTCTTTTGTTTGTCCTTGAATTGAAGGCAACTATGCTCATAGGGTGGGGCTGTCTTAACCCACTATTCCAGTAACACCTGGCCTAGAACAGAAAACAGAGACTAGGCTATGTCAGGTAAGGGCAACCAAATGGCTTACAACAAATAGGAAGCCACTAAAAACAGGTTGGCACACCTTGCATTTTGTTGTAATTCCATACGTATACTCCTGGTCATCTAAATTTGTTTCTTTCATGACAAGTAATGTTGAGAATTTTCAAATTCCAACTGTATTCCCTTTTTTGTTTTTTGTTTTTTTTTTGAGATAAGGTCTCACTGTGCCAGGGTATCACTATGCACTTTAGACTGGCCTCAAACTTGCAGTGGGGGCTGGGGATTTAGCTCAGCAGCAAAGCGCCTGCCTGGCAAGCGCAAGGTCGTGAGTTCGGTTCCCGGTACCGGAGAAAAACCAAAAAAAAAAAAAAAACTTGCAGTGATCCTCCTGCCTCAGCTTCCCAAGTGCTAGGATTACAGATGTGCACCACAATATCTGGCTTCCATTTTGTTATTCCTTGGCTTTTGAAACAAAATTATTGATAATAATTTGAATTATTGCATTTTCTACCATAAGTTCCCCTAGCTGTTGAAAGCTAAACTACTGTAAAACTACCTGCTTCTTTCTGGCTTGCGAAGAATTTCCATCTTGAAGGAAAAGAATCTAGTTAATAGGTGAAATTTTGAATTGATAACTATTCTTGCCTCCAGTGCCATTTCCTTTTTTTTTTCTTTTTTTTTTTTTTTGAGACAGGGTCTTGTTATAGAGTTCAGACTGTCCTTGAGCTCACTTTGTAGCAAAGGCTGATCTTGAACTCCCAACAATCTTCCTGCCTCAGCCTCCCGAGTGCTGGGATTACAGGTGTATGCTACCACGCCCGGCTCTGCTTCCTATAACTAAGAAAAAAAAAGATAGAATAAGAGTTAAGAGGTGAATTCCTCACAGTGTTTAGACTTTTTTCAAGTCTGTACTTGCAACATAAATGGAATTTTAAAGAATTTAGACTCACAGATGAAAGAGATTGGCAAACTCAGGGGCAGGGGCTGGCTCTCAGTTTAATACTGGTATATAAAACTTTATAATTAAATAAACTCTTATTTCAAACACTGAGTCCCTACCATGTTCAAGGTACAATACTAAGTGTGGGGAAAGATACAGAAATTTGTAGTAGAGTCCTAGGCTGAAGAAACTTGAAACTTTTGACGAAGAAAATTATCCCAAGTATTCCAGTAAAGTAAAAGCACAGTGGGTGAGTCCACATGGAAAGTAATATATTTCTTCTCTACAGACAGTTGCTACTTTTACATGAAGATATTCTTGCAGCACCTGTACCTGGAATCTTCAGCCAAATCTGGGTGGTGATGGCGGTTAGTATTACCAGTTATTTGGAGCAATATTGATGAATAATAATTCAGATACTGTAGCTGAAATTGAAGACGGTTTGTGAGGATTAATCACTCTGTTATAGTTTGATTGAGCTATTAAAGACCTGTGATATGCCTGATGTTTACATTTTAATATTTAGTTGCCTCTTCTGGGATGTGGGAAAAGAGAAGGGAAAGAAGGAGAAATTTTGTATGTATGTATATACAGGA